ATCAGATCAGCGAATCTGACACCACCAAGATTACATGGTGCTTTGTTTCCTCCATTACTCTGAGAGTTTTGAGAAAATAAACAAGAATATAAAGTCCTTGGGAAAAATGATGGGAATTGCTGCTCTGTTTCATGCCATTTAGACCCTGAAAGATCTGTCTTAAAATGAATGCAGATATTATTCTAGCCTGAAAATCTGTGAGAATTCTTTGAATGTGTCTGGTTCTGAATTTACAATGTCCCTTAGTCTGCATTAATCTCTTTGAACCTCATGGGAGGGGGAAGACTTGATCCATCCTAGAATGGAAAAAGAGATTCTGATCTACATCTGAATTACTGCAGTGTTATGCCAGTGCAAGCCAGTGATTTCAATGAGGGTAAAACTGGTGCCAGGGTGCCAGAGCTGGAGAGCAGGAGATCCTGTCCCTGTGCATCCTGCACGGTACCATGCCACTTTTCTAGATCCGTGGCTTAGTAGTTCTGGACAGGACTGGTGAGAGGGAGTCGAGACAACAAATGCTGTTAGCAAGCAAAGGATTATATCCTGAGAAATGCAATTCTGCTGATACTAGAGAAACACAATGGCAGCAGGAGTGGCTGTCTCCTCCATGTGTCAGTTGTTTTGTGGATGAGGGCATAGGCAGATAGAGTAGGAATTTGCTTTCCCTGTTACCTCCTGAAATGACCCCCTGTAGACACATGCACATCAGGTACTGTTCTTGCTTGCATCTCTCAGGCTCAGCTATTGCAGCCATGAACCTCAGGAATGTGACATGGTGCTTTCTAGTCCAGTTCAGAAATGTCCGTTAGCTGTGACAACTTCTTCCTAAACCTGAGCATTAGAACCAAGCCTTCCTGTTCTCCCTCCATTTCAATGGATTTCCCAATTACCAGTGGCATCCTCTTGTGTTAAATTAATTAATTAACTAATAATTAAATAAATAGGTAAGAATAATTTAAATGGATCTTAGAAGGATGTTAGTGACTACACTGGTTCATGTTTCAGAAGACAGTTTGTGACTCCCCTGTCCTGGTATAGCATTTGCTATGTCAGGAAAGAACTTGTGCCACTGAAACACCTGATCTTCTTCTGTGCTTTACTGGTGAAATCTAAGGACAGAAAAGTGGTTCTCGCAGAAGAAATGGGAGGGATAGGAGATGTGAGCTTGTCTTCATGTATCTATGTAGAAAAAGGAAAACTAATGGGATTTGTGTACTTATTTGCAGATGTCAAAAATTGCTCTGGGGCCTGCAAAGTCTAAAGCACAGCCTTGCTTGCAAGTCCTTGGCTTGAAAATTATCAATTAAAAGGTCAAGTTCATTCATCCATAACAGGCACTTTTTCTTCTTGTTTTACTTTGGAGCTGAGCAAAAAATGCCAGAACTTCATCACTGAACATGGTATGGTGAGACACAAAATTGGTGGAAAACCTTTGATTGTAGACTGACTTTGGCCCTCTCTGACTTACAGAAAAGCAAGTAATACATTTTATGCTCTCTAGGCCAACCTTGCTGAGCCAGTTTGTCCTAGTGAAGTCTATGCATAAACCGCAAATGCACAAAATTTGCACAATTTGTAAATTCACAAATACAAACTGGGCCCATCTCACCAAACCTTGTTCCTATACCTGAGGCAGCAGAAAGGTAGTGTTTTAGATAGCCAGTTAGACCCTTCATTAGATGAAGGGCTTCTAGGGAAGATGATGAGAGCTTTCACAGAATCATAGAATAGTTAGGGTTGGAAAGGACCTTAAGATCATCCAGTTCCAACCCCCCTGCCATGAGCAGGGACACCACACACTAAACTATGTCGCCCAAGGCTCTGTCCAATCTGGCCTTGAACACTGCCAGGGTTGGAACACTGAATCCTAGTGCAAAAGATACGCTATAGAAGACCCAGGAGACAGGACTTCTAGGTATTGGCTAGTACTTCTGTGTCAGAAGTTTGGTCTCTGATTACTTCTTCATCTAGATGATACTCTAGAATAGCTTTGAGTCATCTTTTTGGGACAGGCCCCTGTAAGTAATCCAGTGGGAGCATGATGGAGGAACAGATGTACTAAGATAACAGACTTCGGAGATGCTTTGAGAGTGACAGGAAAGCTCTGGAAATAGTTACATTAATAAAGAATCAAAATGAAAAATACAAATCTGATGTGCAAGACTATATTAAGAGATTAGGCACCAAGAGTTTTATTTATATTTCCAGGGCTTTTAATGGAGAACATAATGTGCTGTTTATCTTCTCCTGTGGGTCAGTCTCATTTAAGAAGGTGATAGAAGATACACCTTTATATAAAATCTGTTCCAGTAAAAATGTAATTAAAATAGTTGCTATGTTAAAACGTAAAAAATTATCTCACAAAATATATTTCAGTATATGTAGCTGAGTGTTCATACATGTATCCTATTTATTTTTGTTACAAGTGTTTCTGAGTCTTTTTCATTGCTCTTCGTTTCTTGAATGGCCACTTGGGCTCAGGTCTTTTTCTTCCATCACTTCAGATCCAGATAAAAGCAAGAGAGAGAGAGACAAGGAAAATTATATAACCAGAAAGCAGGAAAAAACAAAGGTAAAAAAGCAAATTAAAATATATCAAAAAAGTGGCTTGACTTACCATTTTACATGAGCAGGATGACAATCAAAGGATTTAACTCTGTGCAGCAAACTATATGTAAGGATGCAGTACTGCCTCTCCTGATGTAAATGATGCTTTGGATTGTCTCACATCTTTGTGTCTGGATCACAGGAAGAATGTGCGTGTCTTGGTGTTAGGGATGAATTTTCTCTCTTGCTCCTCCTGTCTTTTCTCTTTGTTATTTAACAGAACATTCTTTTTTCTTTCAAAATTATATGGATTTGTTGCTATCCTCATAAATATGTATTCACAGTAAGTATTTTCCCATGGCATTGCATATTTAAAATCTATTGTGAAACTTTAGGCAGGAAAAAAAAAAGCAGGAGCTACTGGAGTGGAAACACATTTATTATTTTGCAGGATAAATACCTCAAACTTCATCTCTGTACATGGCCATTACACAAGGGTGTTTGTAACTGTTTGAAATTCCTTCTACATACTTCAGTTTTTCTGTATATATAGGAGGTAAGAGACACACACACATAAGCCTGTCAGGCTCAGAAAATGCACAGGTAGAAAGTGGATAAATGAAGAAAACTTCAGAAATTCAGAAGTAGTTGTCTTAAAATGGACTTAATAAAACAGCGGGTGCAGTAAGGATAGAAGAAAACAAAAAGCTATAAAGCTTTCATCTGCTCTGTTAATTGGCATTAAAATTAGTACGGGAATATATTTGGTGGAATAATTAAATTTTTAATAGAAATCTTTTACGTCTTCATATATTCATATGGAGACTATACGTAGTATATTATGCAATATATATGTAATATATATAATGTGTGCTTAGCTGACTAGCTGCAGCCAGGTTTACTAACACAGCTACAGTTGGTAAGATTAGTGCAAGGACACGCTTAGGCCATTTCCTTGACTGTGTTCAGCACTAAGGGTGCTCTTTGTATTCCCAGTGGAGACCTGAAAGTTGATCACACACATGAACCTCCACACTGCCCTGGGACTCCACAGCCTCCAAATGTAACCACTTACGTAATTTCTATACTGTCCATTGCCATAACAATGGAGGTCGGGGTTTTCATTAGGTGATGCTCTGCATGCCAGTGCCTGTCCTATGACTATGTGGCTCTACCGAAGCCTCTGAGAGCTTTGTCATTGACTTCACTGGGGTCAAGATTACTCAAAATAGAGTAATAAAGATCCAAATAGAGATCCAGCCCAAAGGCACTAGATACAGTTTTAAAATGAAATTTAAAAGGTCCTCGCCACAGCCTCAACTTTTACTTTAAAGCATTTCAGATAATTTGCTTCTGCTGTCAGGAAGTATCATTCTTAACCCTGAAGTAAGGATCCTACTTCAATTTAGGTGCCTGATATCATCTGCAGCTTTTTATCTTCAAATATCAACTATATTCTCATTGCATTTCTTGCATAGGCTATGTACATATGAAGCCATGCGGGAAGGAGAAACAAAATGTGTGATTTTTTAAATTATTCTTCTGCTCTTCTTTTTTTTAATCTCCAGATGGTCCCTGGGACTGGTGATGTTTTCTTTAGCCCATATATTTCCTGCTTTAATTAGCTTACTTAACTAGTAAGCTTTAACTAGCTTACTTATCCAGCACATGTTTGAGAGATACACATGTGATCAGATTATATCAGGTGCTAATGTTTAATCACTTTCACAAAATTAGAAGTGGATAAATGGCTGAACCATAATTGAATGATTTTATTAGAAGTCAAGCTGATTAGTGTTGTGACATAACTTGAGAGATTTCCAGCCTTGCATTAATTTCACAGCAGCCAGGGCTGCAGTAATGGTGGTGAGCACACTGCCATTGCTCTGTTAGAGACAAAGATCAGAGCTGGGTGACCAAGATCTGCGATACATATTTATCAGCTGCGCGGCTGGCACAACTTCTGTCACTATCTAAGAGCAGTGAAGCATGCTATTGCTTTGATTTACCACCACTCAAGGAAAAAAAATGCAGCAAAAGGATGTTTTGGGGGGGTATTTTTAAAAAAGCGGTCTCTCTCCCCGTTCCTGCTTTTCCCCAGCATGTGTGCTTGTGAGAAAGGAGTGGGGGATGCCGATGGCATCTGCCCCTTCAGGGGCTTTGTTGGGAAATATCGGATAGGTAGCACCGAAAACAGTGGGGATCTGACATGTTTGAATGGATGGGTTAGCTGGAGCAAGTCTGAGGCTTCTCCTTCTTGTACCTGATTCAAAGATTTTTATTGCTTGGTGAAAGATCTGAGCAAGGCTGAGTGAAATTCTCAGAATCTGCACCCTCCATGTGTGCTTCACCAGATGGCTATCATTAACTGGTGAATAGGAATGCTTGGTTTTGTCGTGACTGTAGTAATTTCATTGGGGTCTTAAGATGGAGAGAAGTCATGCAGTACTTACAGGATCCCTTTTTACAAGGCCTGGGTTAGGTACAACAGCAATGAGGTGGGCAATCGTAAATACGGAGTTCAGCACATAAGAAGAAAACAAATTCTTATGCAGTGTTATCCTTTGACAGCTGAGGCTCCTGAAAAATATGTAGCACACGTTGTAAATTAGTATTTTTCTTCTGATGTCACTTTAACAAGCTCTTTCTGGAAACAGCCTCTCAAGAATGCCTTTTGGCAAGGCATAATCGGAAAATACATGCCTTGCATTGCAGCCATAACCTCTGTCAAATTTTTTGTTTTGTTTTTACACCTGTTTAGCACCACATGCTTTTTAGACCATGTTGTAAAGAGCCATCCAGCTACATTCTCAGCCCTTGATGCTTTTCTTTATTTCATGGTACTCAACATATTAAGTGGTGAAGCAGAACCCTGAGAATTATTGGATGCGCGTGATACAAGTAACAAACATCAGGAATACTGCTTTATAAGTAACTGTTCCCTGGAGACTCAATTTCTCAAATACTCAGATGAAAATTATTTGCTACTTTCAGAATTAGTGGCAAGACAGGATGAGAACTTTGGGCAGGAATCTCCTTAAATTACAGGGGGATTTGGATTGCTATCCTGCATGTTTCTAACTCCAGCTAAGCTCCCAAATCAGATGAGATTGTTTTCCTGCTCGGAAGGAACAGCAATCTTTCCTGAATACTGACTTTGAGATGGTAGGATTTCTGCTATTATGGGTAGCAGAATTTCACAATAGAAGTTCACAGGATTCTTCTGAAACCAAGTCATGATTGCAGTTTCAGACCTGAACCATCTCTGCTTTGTAATTCATGCCCAAATCCTCATGCCACCTCATTGGCTACCCCTGATGCAGAGAAAACTGCCTCCACAGTGCTACATGCCCCAGAGCACAGCCTGAGGCTGGCAGGAGGTGATTACAAAAAGGCAGTCATGGAGTTGGTTAGATAATGCATGATGTCTGTATTCAGTGATCACTGAAAGTAAGCAGGCAAAACCAGTAGCTAAAAAAACTACAAAGAGTAAGTGTTGCTGTCTTGCTGAAGTAAGCTTCCTTCTCAGCACTAGGAGTCTTTTGCAGTCTGGAATGGAGTACAGGGAGAGATTTTCTGATGCTCTGCAAGTGGAGGTCAATGCAGAATGCACTTTCTTTAAAAACAGAGAGCTAATCTAAACAACTGAACTCTTTGCTTATTTTGCTTGTTTCTTTATTTGTTTTCCATTTTTTCAGCTCCTTGGTCACCTGCCACTTATTCTTTCTTCTCCTAACACTTATTTTCTGAATCGTTGGACAGAATTCTTCCTTTAGCTTGAGATCACCTTTGTGGTTATGGTCATCATCATCCTGTAATGCTCATCACTTTTATTGACCTCGTTATTTACCAATACACCTTCCTTGGCTCAGGATGTCCATGAGATGCTAGCAGGCTAGGAATGAGAGTATCTCTACACTTACCCTGATTTTGCATCGCTCCTTTAGCATCATGTATTGGCTACTGTTGAGCACCAGATAAGGGAACAAGACTGGTCTGATATCCAGCCTGTTCCCAACAAATTAAAATTTCCCTATAACTTAGAGCAGTCTCTTCAGCTCCTGGCCACAGAAATGCAGACCCTTGTCTCTCCAACTTCCTCTCTACAGGGCTACTGGTACAGAGAGGCAGTGTTTTGTGATAATCTCTGCCAGGTACATGTGCTTCCACTCCCATTCCTGTCCTTCCTCACTGCTCCACTTGATTTTTGACATCTTTACTCCTCTATTAAATTGGACTGTCTTTCACTGCATGTTGCCTTTGTCTGCTGTCCAAGCTCCTTTCCCTGACTGCCTTCCTCCCTTAGTTTCACTCCTCCTTTCCTCTCAGTATTCCCCCCCTTTTTTTCTTGACTCCAGCTTTCATGCTAAAGATCCATCTGGATCATTAATCATGTATTTCCATACCCTCACTTTTTAGTTTGACCTTCAGTGTTTGCCATCACAGTGGCATCAGGACCTGCCTGATGCAGTCTGCACTGAGAGGCGGACATTCCAAACCCCTTATTTGACTCATCCTCTCTTCTGGTTTTGACAATCTGTAATCTTCTCCTTCTCTGACCTATCTTAGCCCTCTTCCTGATATTCTGATCATTCCTTTGTGGCCTATTTGAAGGCTCCTTGTCACTCTCCCTCCCCATCTTTCTGTATGCTCCCTACTCTGAGTCATTAATCATAATGCGAGAAGGCACCACTAAGCCAGTTATCCGTGCCTAGATCTTCTGAGGGTTTTTTGTCACTGGGCCTCTACCAATTGTGTCTCAGAGTTTCAGAGATGCCTACATTTCTTGTGGTTCCCTTGTGTTTCACATTTATTCTATGTCTCCTACATTTCCTTTGACAGAGATGGGTTCTCCTATCTACTCACAGAGTCACTCTTACTTTTGAGTTCCTATCTCCACTTCCCTATTCCATCTAGGATGTTTTGACTTCCAAGAAGCTTTTAGCGTTATTTTCTTCACAGATCGGCACTGTGAATCTGTCATTTGTTCTCATTCATGAATACCAATTACTGCAAATACCCATTTTTACTCCCAGCCAGTTATTTTCCATCTCTTACCTACTTGTTTAGTTTCCAAACTATTTTCATGCTTTCTACCTTTCTCTCCATTACCCCTGGGGAAAACTCCCAACGAACTTTCACAAATTATCCTTCCACCAATTATCCTTCTTCAACTTTAAAAGCCTTGACAACAATTAGACTGCAGGTGCATTCAGAACACGCCATCTATTACTCTGGCAAATCTAGACTTACTGTACTACCCATTTGTCTTTAAACAAATGTCTTTGTTTTAGTAATTCAATTGGAAGTGATTTTGAGCTAGGAGTCCCTTTTTCTTTTTGTGTTTTATCATATAAGATAACGGGGTCCCTGCCTGCAATTATAAAAATACTGCAATAATGTGATGGTGCATGTAACACTTTATTTTATGAATACTCTGTCTCCTGTTATGAGTTAGTATTGCTTAGTGATGCTCATCACTCCTGATTCAGAATTGCCTTCCAAAAGTACTGCAACATCTGTGATGCCAGATCATTATGAATCTTGATACTCAAAACTGAAAGGAAAAATCTCTGCCACAAAAGACTTATATGTGGGAAACAACAACCTCTGCAAGGTGATTTTGCTGCCTCTACAGTCAGAGGCTATTATACAGTCCCAAAACCATCTCTTGCTATCTGATCGTCTGTCTGATTGACAACTTGCCTTCTATTGAAAATCAAACAATCTATCACTGTCATAGCCAGATGACAGATCATAGCCAGATGATAGAAACCCAGTGAAGGTAACATGAACCCTGCTCCCCTACAGCTTTATTCTCACTTTCTTATGATCACGGTTTGGTTTTGTTTTTGTCATTCCATTTTGCAGCACTTCGTTTTAATTCCTTTCTCTACTTCTTCCTATAACCTTTGTGTCATGGATTAGTCATGTAAGGGGAAGGAGAAGTGGAGGAGGAAAGAGAAGAGGAGGTGTATTACTGTCTGGAAAGCTGCTGCAAAGATGAGTCTTTAAGTGTGGCCTGGGACTGGTCAGGACTGTGTGTTGTCTGTGACTCAGAGCTAAGAGTGAGTCAGACAGCCTGAACCTGCTTTGCTCATGGCAAGGAATCATCTTCCTGGTCCATTTTGGGTAGCTAATTTAACTAGATCCTGTCTTTACTGTCCTAAAGAACTCTGAAGCCTGGGTGTAGGATTTGAAATCAAATTAAACTGTGCTCTTCCCAGCTTTCTTAAAGCGTTACTTTGGCTATAGTTTCGTGCTCTTTATCTTTACTTAGATAGGAAAGGAATTCATCAGTTCATTGTGTAGAGTTTCTAGCTATCTCTGTATCTGATTACTGCATGTTATCACACTCACCAAACTGCCTCTCTGGAAATCAGCAGAATTCACAACCTGCATTTTGGATCCACCTATTTTGAATATGCAATCCTACAGACTCTTTTAGTCTATGCAAAATCCAACTGTTTCATTTTCCTATGATTCCTAGACTTGCTCTTGGTGGTGCTGATGCTGGGCGCTTGTTCTTTTATTACCCTTCCTGTCTGACAGTTGAGGCACAGGCATCTAATTGTATAGTTTTAAGATTTATGCCAGCTTCTTCTGGCCTCTCAGTTTACTAAGCATACCCTTTTCCAGCCTATATGGACAACCTTGTCAATTGTGTACCTTTCCAGGGACCAACAGCAGCTGAAGTAACCAGGAATAAGCTTCACATAATGTTATTGAGAAAATTACTATTAGAAGGCACACAACCTGAATATATCCATAGATATGTAGTACATATAGATCAAAACTGGGACCAGAGACAGGCTAAGGTGCCTCATGTAAGATTTAGACTACATAATACAGAGACTCTGAGCCTAGAACTGATGTAAGCACTGGCATACAATATCTGGAATTTTCTGGAGCACCTTTCACTGCAGATTTTTAAAGCAAGGCAACCATCCCTTGTGCACTAGAGATGGGGCTTCAGGAAGGGATGCTTTTTATCCCCAAATCAATGCAATTACTATGCATGTGTAAGCTGGAATTTCATGTTTGCTATGTGCTGATGGATTCTATAGATCTTCATATGTGTATTTGAGCTGAAAAAATGACATCTCAGAAACTCAGATAATTAAGTAGATGATATCTCACAGTCCAGGTTGTCACACAGGCCTATTTGTGTTCTGGTATAATTTTAGCTTGAAATAATTTATTGCAGGCTAAATTACAATCTTAAAAGAGTATATTCTTATAATGACAACAGTATGGACTTAAGTTACTATAGGTTGCCATTATTGTGCAACTATTCTTTCTCACACTCTGTAAAGAAGCTCATGAAGAAAAAAAGCTTGTGGGGTTTTTTTCTTGTTTCCTTTTCTTTGCATTGTTGACAGGTCAAAGAATACTGCATTCTCTAAAGAGTTTAGGAGGTTTGTGCATACTTGACTGAGGTATGTTTTCTGGCAATAAAAGTCTGTCTGGTTACAATTCTGTGTGTTATTTATTCAGAAGCAGTTGTAATTGTTCTTATATTACTTGTTTCCCAGTTTGCAGTATGGAATACTCCTTTATATCCTTGGAAACCTTTATCCAGGTAAAGTTACCTGGCCTCTAAGATTACCTTGCAGCTATCTCCAGATACACTCTACTGATGGTGCACGTTTCCCTATCTCTGATCATGAACTGATGATTTGGTTATCTGATTACAAGTAACAGATGCACATTTGCTGAAAACAGTAAAACATCCCATTTAGGTCATTATCCTGGATGCATCATTCTGTTTCATCAAACTATCTGCGCATGGACATTACAACCCTGCTTTCTGAGTGTGCTATCAGTCCAGTAGATTTGCAGTTTACAGTAATGTTACAAAAATTAAATAGCTTTAAAAGATTGCATAAGAGCTAGAAAAACATAGCTTATGCAAGTGATCATAGCTCTAGATGTACAACAGCTCAGGATTTTGTCCATTGTTTGTTCTTGAATATTTTTCCCACTGCCTTTGACGCCTTCTAGCACTCAACCATTTCCCTGATCTGAAAACCAAAGGCTGTTCCCAGACAGACCTTCACTACTGATTGTGACTGAAGTTGTGACTACATTTGATGGTAAATGTGAGCTCCCTCTGCTACTTCACTGCAGACACATTATAATACATAGCATGCAGACAGGTTCACGAAAGGACAAGATTTAAATGCTCTAGTTAAGCTGCCATATGGTAGCTGCAATGCTTTCAGTGAGTATCGGTTTAGTCTTCTTTAAAGTAGAGCATATTATTATTTTTCCTTTTAATGATGATGACAGACTACATATTAGTGTCAGATTCACTCTTAGCGCTGGGTCTGGTAAGCATCTACTCAAGTCTATAGCTCAGTCTTCAGCATCAATAAAGGTATTCCTGTTCTTCAGGAGCTGGGGGCTACAAGCCACTGTTTTGTGCAGTCACTGTACCTGCCAGGAGCTGGATGTGCCCTTCAAGGAATAACAGGCAACTGGTAAATGAAAGGCCTTACCGCATCCCCAGTCACACCATTTCCCTATTGGACACACATTTTTACACCATTCTTGACAAATGCAACAGCATGATCTTGGCTACACGCCACTGGGAGATGTCCCATTGGTGACAGGACCCTGTGCTGGTACTTTTTACCAGGATTATAGAAAAAGGCACTCGTAAGAGCCATGTCCCCTTCCAAGCTTTTCTTTAGTTACCACTTGAGATCTTTCAGGGAAAGAAGAGAGAGTGTCTGTAAGAAACACTTACTTGAAATAGAAGAAAATTGCCAAGGAAATCAACAGCGATGTTATAGACAAAGCATGGCCAACGATTGCCATATAATAAAGTATGAACGCCATCTGCAATTTAACGAAAAGAAAAGGCAAACATGAACAATTTGCAGACAGTCAGGTTTTTTTCTCATTAAATAAGAATCTACAAAATCAAACACCCATTTTGTATTTCTTTCTTTCAAAGGTTCTTTTTCAATGTACTTTTAACATCAGCAATCTATTAAACAGCACAACTCATGGTCTGAAGATGAGATAAGTGTTTCTTACATGAGTTGGTCTATTTCAGCTGCACTGAAGTAACTGGCAAGATCCCTGCTCACACTATACATCACTAACTTTCCAAGCTCTAGGAAAGCACAGCAGACATAACACATTCAGATTTTCAAAAAGCCCATGACAAGCTTCCACACACAAAATAGTATTAAAGAAAATAGGTTGCTGCAGGATTGATAGAAAGCTTTTACAGTTTGAGAACAGCTTAAATGACAGAGATCAAAAATTTAATGGTCACTTTTGGAGAAGAGTCAGTGGTTAGGTGCCCTCAGGATTGGTGGTGGGGCTGGCTTTTTGCTTAACATATTCATCAGTGACCTGATGCAGGAAATACTTAGGTCTTCCAGATAATAGTGAGGGACTCCAGAAGGACCTTAGATAACTGAGGGGACAAGAAGATGCCATATGAGCTTGAACACAGAAAAAAGTGGGGTGATACATCTAGGGACAAACCACCTAAACCCTGCTTACACAACACTGAACTCAGAGCTGAAATCTAAACTCAGACAGGAAACCTTGGAGGCATTCTGGCCAGTTCTGTGAGTCACTGGTTTACCATGTAATGACTGCCAAAATGTCAACAAAATGTTGGATATGATTAGGAAAGGCACTGAGGGTGTAACATCATTGTGCCTCTCTTTAAAATCTACATCACACATATTAAATGCACTCCTGTTTCTACCTCAAAGACATGGCAGAGCTAGGAAGGGTGCAAAGAAGGCAACTAAAATAACTGAGGTAGAGTAACTGTGTTATGACAAGCATGTACAAATGCCAGGATTCTCCCCTTTGGAGAGGAGAAGTCAAGAGGGGGTTTATGATTAAGGCCCAGAGTCATGAAAGCAGCAGATGAGATAAAAATTATCCTCAACTCCTATCACAGTGGAACAGCACACCCTGAGCCAAATTCTGGTTCACACTGGTATGAACCTTGCTATCGGGCAGCTAGATGGTCTTATAGTGCTGTGCAGCCAGTACGCACGAACAGGTAGTCAGGCTTTCACTTTGACTAGTATCAGTGAACTCTAAGATAGACCTATCCATATTTTGTATGCCAGTAGTGAAACAAAATTGCAGGACAGCACCTGGGCTTCAGAATGCTGCAGTATTTAAATGTCATACTGTGGTCTAAGCCAACCTCGTAAGCATCACCCAGTTGTCAGAAAGCTGCAGGTTAAATGGCATGCCAGTCTTCACCACTGCCTTCTTTTCTGAAAGCACTAATGTAGTATGCGCCTGCCCTGAAAAAAAAGACTTGGGTAGGAGGTATTAGTTCCTTTGTTGTATTTATTTTCTTTTCAGCTCTACTTTGTTAATTTTTCTTCTGTTTAACCAAGACAAGTGCAAGGTCCTACA